CAACAACACCTTTTCTGTATGTCCTTGGAAATGGGACTGTTTGTGTGCCGGAGAGTGTTTGTGTATCACGCACTCCTCTTGTGTATATGTAAAGTGACGACTTGATGAAGTGGAACAAGAGAAATTACGAGCCGCCTTCTCTGGTGTTCATTATTTTCCATCTATGGGGAATGCAAGGACATAAAACACAAATACACCTGCCCACACAAACACACACACACACACATACAGGGCATTTTACAACATATTTGAACACTTAAACATGAAAGTTGCTCACACACACACACACATACACACATACATAAGCATGCAATTAAAAGCGAACGTATAAACAGAGCGAGTCCTGTACATCAACCAGAGTTTGTTCTCGGAGCACGTACAGTACGAGAGCGGAGCATGTTTGGCAGATATTGCTGCCATAATAAAATCAGTAGTTTATGTGTTCAGTAAGCAACATGCAAACAATGTCTGTTGGTATTTAGTTAAATAAAAAGCAGACAGTGCCGAACCACACTGACTGCGCGCTTTATGTACTGCAGCTCACAAAGTAACAAACCATGAAAACACAGAAAAAACAAAAAATGTTGTTCTCTTTTGCTGTCATTTTTTTTGGAACTGATTGATAACATTCGTATGCGATGGTGTGAAAGGCGATATGCACCACCTTTCCTACAGCCAACACGTCTTGCTTATGATGCTGCTGCTGCTCTGGAAACACACAGAAAGTGCTCGTTTCAAAATATCGTAGCTGAGAGGTTGTAAACTTTATTATAGTTCAGCTGCTTTCGTCAAGAAATCTTTAAAGTGGAGCTTCGTCTTTGTCTCTTACTGCAAATGTGGGGGGAAAAAAAAGCTTGTAGAGATGTGAACGCTGATAAAAAATGAGGTTGATGATTACACCTCTGACATTAAAATATATATATCTGAGTCTCCAATTAAACTGTCAGCACTCAGATTGCATTGTTGCTAATGTAGGCGTCAGGTTTTGACAAGAAGACTGGCGTGAGAACAACAACGGGCAGCTTTCCACTGCAGGGAGTCGGCAACAGGTGGAACGCTGCTTTCAGCTTCTCCTTTTCCATTCCGGTGCAGGATCGGACCGCATCGGCCGTGACGTTAACTCGGATGCACCAAAGCTACAACGAATAATAGCTACTGGGCATAACTCCAGTATGATAAGAAAGACTATGTGGTGAATTTTAAGTTGTAGTGAGAATACGACATCAACAGAGCAGAAAAACAGTGCGAGCAACACACTGAATAGCATTTGTCTACTCCACGTCTACCAATCAGCATCAAGTAGGTTTCCATAGCCACTCACAAGTACCTTCACCAGAGTAGAAACCTGCCCTGAAAAAGCTTCAGAACACACACTACGTCAGTGTTCCTTCAGAATCGTCGCTGCAATTGATTTTGGTTCTTTTTCAAGAATGTCCGTCGTGAGCGCAGCGCTACACTGGTGGTGGGGGTATTTCTTAAAACAGCCACACCCACGAAAAATGCAAATGAAAAACACTCGGCGGCGAACATCGGAGGAACGGCCCGCGTCAGCCAACTCGCTTGGAATAGAAAAAGTACATTTAGAATATTGTTTGGCATCTGGGCTCTGATCTCGTCACGAGGAAACAGTGAGCCCAAGAAGTAATTGCTCATTTTCCCTCTGCACACTCATTGCCTGCAGGTGGATGCTGGGGTGGAGGAGGGACGTTTGAAATGCTGACATGTGAGATTTAATCAGCCCGAGTCAGTCAAATCAAGTTGCATCTTTTTGGTTGCATCACATGTCTTTGCTTGAGCCCTGACGGAGCGGCAACAAGCTATTTTGGCACTGATGCTTTCATCATCTACATCTACATGTGGATATTCACGCTATATATAGGAAGCATGTTGAAATATTTGTGGGGCGTAGCTTCTTGAAGAATGTTTGTTTTACTTGGGTTTAAAAGTGGGTGCCCTTGCTGCCACACCCATCAGTATTCTTACACTGCATCACATGTATGGTGTGAAAACTTCAACCACTAGATGGCAACACATGCAGGATTATCAGACACACTTTAATGACTCCACTGATTCCACTGACCTCTATTCGTGTCCAGCTGTGTCCAGGTGAACCTACAACAACAATGACAGCAATCAACTCATTAAAACACTAGTTTTCACTTGATAATCTTGGTTACGGAACAGATAATGTCTACTAACTAAATGCTGCTCAGTTTCTTGCTCTGCAGCGAGAGCAGAGCTTTAAGCCGGAGTCGTTCTGCGATGCTGGCTGCTCTCCTGGACTTAAACTTCCACTGCTGAGCTGCAGAAAATGCCCGTAGTTAAGCATTCTCGACGTAGTCTGGGAAATTGCAGCGATGAGTCCTCTGGCATTCAAATCACAACACCACCCAAAGAAGATATTCAGTCACGAGTTTGCACTTCTGCACAGCATAAAAACTTTGTTATTGTTCCTTTAAGTCAGGCCGACGCATGGATAGAAGGAGAGCGGGACAGAGGGAGGAACAGATGGATTGATGCATGAACAGATCTTTGGGGAATTTGCATTTGCACTGAGCAAAGAATGAGAGCAGAGAAAAAAGAACGAGAACATTGTGTCCCCTCATTTACGATAACATGAACAATGTACATCCCTGACTGGAGTGGTATTGGGAGCAGATTTTCCTTCTAATTTGTCATCCTCTCTTCATCCACACCGCCTCATGCCCAGCTGAGATTTGGTGGATGCATTATTAATCCACGCCGCTCTACTGTCTTAATCCCGTTCATTATCGCTGCTCTGGTTTGGCCAAAGTAGCTCAGATTTATGTCTTGAAGGGGTTTTTGCCGCTCCTGTTGGTTTTGGAGGGAACACTGACTCACCACAGTCCTCGGTTCAGGAGCTGGCTGCTGAGACGTTTAACCATCACGGGTCACCCTGCGCCCTTTCTGCGGCTGCTGCATTCTTCTGTGGCCGCTTTTTTTTTTTTGTTTCAGAATCTCTCCCTTTGTGTCGAATTCTGACAAAATTATGAAAAAAAAAAAAACTCCGCTTCAGATGTTTACAGTTGAAAGCAAAAGATGGGAAGTGATAGCATTGATGGAAGTATGCAAGGAAAACCAGAGGAAAAGCCATGGGGCACGAGAATCACTCCAGATATGTAAACGGTGGTTATGGAAGCTTTTAACATCTACTGTAAACTGAGTTTTAAACAATCATGGCTGAATTGATGCGACGAAAACACCAAACATGTGCCACACTGATGTTGCGGTGAAAACAAATCATATTCATCAAAGCTCCTCCAGAGAGAAAATGAGAAATGCACATGGGAATTCAGTTTCATACGAGCGAGATTATGTAATTATACAGTCACTAATTCCGAGGAGAATTAGTGTCGGAATGAATAAATACTCGAAAGCCCCTGTTTTTTACATTCACATGTACTTATCCCACATTCTGTGACTCTCTCTGCTGCACAGAATCAAGACTCTCAGTCGAGCGCTACTGCTGTGGCAACTCCTGTGATTTCAAAGGTATAAAGCCTGCTGTGCACGGGACATGTGAGTGAGCTCCTGCACCGGGTTTATCATTGTTAACAGTGCCTTCTAGTGGTCACCAGCTAAACCAACGAGAGTAAATCACTCCTCTATTCATCCCCAGCCTACAAATGTAGGATTAGATAAAATGATGGCTGCGCTTCGGAAACGGCTGTGGCACTTTATCAAGCTGTGAGTGGACATGGGAAAGACAACCAATACAGCTTCCTGACACTCCGGTGGTACCGGAGGAAGAAATATCTGCCCCCGAAAAGCTGCGAGAGATGGAAATAACAGCCCCGGCCGGGCTGATTTAGAGCGCATATGTGGTGCGAGTAGAGCACACGCTGAAACAATCAGGCGTTATTCTGCATACAGGCTATAAAATAATAGAGCCCAGTTGCACTTAAGTTGTCAGCCTCAAATCTCAGAGTGCGTGACATCCTTCCCCCTTTTCTGCTTCTCTTTTCTTCTGCCTTCCTCTGTGTGTGTGAGAGAGAGAGACAGAGCATGTTGGTGGATTTCCCTTCTGGCTACATTTGCAACACAAATGGTGTCCAATGGAAGCAACAGGTGCAGGGTCCGAGGACAGGAGCAGGTATCCCTGGAAGTGTTATCTAAACAGAGTGGGAGAAAGCTGTAAATTAGAATAAAAAAATGGCAAATCCATTTCCCCTGTTCCAAGCCTTATATAAGTGAGTGATCCACTAATGATGCCACACACCTCTTTCCTGCAGCCCTTGAGGGTTTTTGCACCTCCTTTTCCTTCTCCGGGATATTCCATCCAACCCGTGACCATGAGGCACTTATGACTCAAGCAGGGGGTTACCGATGATTTCGTGCTTAATGACCGCAGAAGAATCATGATGTCATTTAAGAAAACGGGTTTTTCCTTTGAATAAAAGGTCTCGGGAATAAAAAAAATGCGCACACCCTCGAAATCAATTTTACGCACGTAATTTTTGAAGTCTTTTTTTTTCTTTTCTTTTTGCGCAGTTCAAATTCAAAGTGGGAGAAAACACACAATCTTGACTGATGGGTTGTTTTTTTTTTTTATTGATCCAAGTGCCATTTGTTCGCACTGGATTCTAGTTTCTGTGAATCTGCAGCTGAAATGATATCATCCACTGAAAATGTTTAAAAAGTGGGAGAATTTACTGTTGAATACGAGCGCATGTGGCTGTTTAAGGATCCGAACAGATCCATGCGCAGCAGAAAGCCTGCAGGTTTAGACGAGCGCTGCGCTGAAATGTCTTTTGATGAGCTCCTGCGTTGCTTTCTGCTCCTGCCTCTTGCGCCTCGGCATCAGTTCAGCCTTCAGGGTGAAAGAGCGATCCTCCTGCTGCTGCTGGAGAAAAAAAAAAAAAAAAATGTTTGGCCGCCTGCCAAGCCGTGGAACAAGTGCGCCTCCCTTCCCTGCTGTTTAGCGTATTCATAGTTAGGGGTTTGGGCTCGGCTGTTTTAAAAAGGCAAGGCAGCTCTCAAGTTGATCAGTCTGCTCAGGAAACTTCTGCTGGAGAAAGTACTGGAGTCCAAACTGAAGGGGAGAGAAGTTGAGATTTGGTGCAACAACAACAAAAAAAAGAACTGCTTTTGCTCCTGCACAGGACAATATTTCGGGGGGAAATAGCACATATGTTTTAAAAAACAATTTGCTGATTTGAAGTCATTTTTGCAGCGTGCACAGCGACCAGCGCGTCATTAATGGGTGCTTCTTTTTTTTTTTTTTTTTTTCAAATAGATAGCAACACTCTTGGATAAAGACTCTTGGCTTTAACTGTAAAAATCGGATTATCTGACTGAGGCATTGTGTTCATTAGACCAGGCTACTTTTTTTTTTTTTTTCTCTTCTCCCCCCTCCCCCCCTCCTCCTCCTCCTCCTCCTCCTCCTTCTTCGCATTTGAGGTTTTACGCGATAAACTGAAGAGAACCGCCAACAATGTTTCTGAGTTTTTGCCTCTTGGTGACATTTATCTTGGGGCTGTCCGGCTGCTTGGGCTCATACGTTCCGTGCGAGCCTTGTGACCAGAAGGCGCTGTCCATGTGCCCTCCGGTCCCGGTCGGCTGCCAGCTGGTCAAGGAGCCGGGCTGCGGCTGCTGCCTAACGTGCGCCCTGTCCGAGGGGCAGGCGTGCGGCGTTTACACCGGGACGTGCACCCAGGGCCTCCGCTGCCTGCCGAGGAGCGGGGAGGAGAAACCCCTGCACGCCCTTCTCCACGGCAGGGGAGTGTGCACCAACGAGAAAGGATACAAACCTGCCCACCCGCCCATAGGTAAGACGCGCAACCGGCTGACTTTGAGTTGCATGCTTTTGGAGTGGATGATGTGCTCTAGAAAAGTGTCGTGTGGACAGCACCGGGGGTCTCCTCTTGTCTGCGGATCGCTTGTTTGGTGACGGAGCCTTTACGCGCAGCTCAGGGAGAAAATGTACCCAAAAAAAAGAAAAATATGACATTTTATTCCAGCCCAGATCAGTCTTTCTGTCTTATTTCTGACTTGGTCCCCCACAGTTGTAGAACCCTGAGCAGCTCAGTCCTCTTGACAGACCGTTTGTTTGACAGATGGTTTGAGGTGCCATCTGATTAACTTTTATCCACTGCCTCGAATAAACTGGCTCTGCTCTGCGGGAGCTTATTCCGGCTCACACACACTCACACACACACACACACACACACACATGCACCTTTGATGGGCTCCGCATCCACGCTTGGAAAGAATAAGTTTTTTTGCTGCTTCTTGTGATGAACCTAATAACAAGGCGTGAACGCACCGCTCCGGTCGTGCGTCCCGGTCGCTCTGCTGCGGGCGCCTCGACGCTCCGCTGCGGTAAAAAAAAAAAAAAAACGCACATGGTGTTGTCCCGGCTGAGTTGCGCCTTTAGTGCGGGACAGTGGCTGTCAGACTGCGGTTTAGCCAGAGCCAAGAGCGGCTGACAAGCATCCAAGCAGCCCTCATGTGAAAATATTGACACTGTAAGGCGACTGCAGAACGCGTTTCTTTAAGAGCTTTCACGTCTCTGCTGTTATCTTTTTTTTTCAGCGGGTGAAAAAACTTTTATGAAAAGTGGTCTGTGGACTGAATTTATTTATGTAAGGGATATTAAGAGGGAAATGTGGTAGCCCCTAAAGTGGCGCTTATCCTGCAAATAGCCGCCTGCTTGAACAGCAGCTCTGTAACAAGTGTCTGTCACAGCCCCTCGGTTTTCCATCTCCACGCCAGAGCGCATGAGGCTGTTATGTCTTTCTTTTTTTTTCTTCTCCCCCCCCTCCTCTTCCTCTCCTTTCCTTGTGCGCCTTTCCACTATCACCCAAAGATGTGAAATCAATCCAGACAGCAGGAAAACGCATCGACTAAGATGGGGAGGAATGAAGTGCCACTCCATAAAGTTTGGGTCTCGTTAAAGCAGAATTGAGATAGATTTAGGTCTGCAGGCTACCCCTGGGGTGGTGTTTAGAGTCGGATTACCACTAAATCTGTATGCGTGAGAGAAAAGAGAGAAAGACAGAGATAGTCAGACAGATAGAGGCAGGCAGGCAGGCAGGCAGGCGGAGAAGGAGAGTTGAGCCAGAAGTCTTGAATGATTTAAGACATTTCTCGGTGTAGCAGACAGGTCCACTGTCACTCAGAGTTTTAGCAGCTTGTCAACAACCAGATAAGTAGGTGGTAACCACAAAGGTTTTGGCTACAAGCCTCATTCTGTAAAATCGGCTGCCACTGGGCTCATTTTGACTGTTGACGGAGCCCCGGGGCTCAGCGAGCAGCCCTCCTCTCTGCTTCATGACACTACAGCAGAGTGTGTGCTCCCGCTATGATTGTTCTAAAAATACCCTGCAAACCTTAAAGCCCCGCGAAGCATCGATCACTATCTGAGGTGATGTAAATGTAGGTTTCAGTATCACCACTGTGTGTGTGTGTGTCTGTGTGTATGTGTTGGAAGTTTGTGTGTGTGTGTGTGTTTGCTCTCACGTATACTTGGGCGCGGCTGTGTGGGTGTCTGGGTGTGCATTGTGTGTGTGATTGTTGTTAGTGATGACACCCCAGGCAGTTTTGTCTCACTGTGGCTTTCCAACCAAACACACACACACACACACACACACACACACACACACACACGCACACACACAACCTGACTTCTTTGTTGGCCCACAGAGGTAATCGGAGCATCTTTTCCTGCCTCTGGCAGTGCATTCATTGCATGGGCGCTCAGTCACAACGCAGTGATTCAGCAGAATGCCTCCGGCTCTCTCTTTCCTCTGAAGGGCCTTCTGTCAAACAGCTCCGCAGATGGGAACTGGTGAGGTGAGCCTCTGGTTTCCTGTCGTGTGGGGTTGCAGCTGTCTGTGTGCTGTACCAGCTGAGCAAGGCAAACACAAGGAGGAGGAGCTCGAGTATCCACAACACTCGTGAGACCATGAGAGCTGCAACCTACTAAATATTGACTGGGACAGTCAAACAATGGCAGAGAGGAATCCTTGCTATCCTCCAGCCCCGGCTCCCCCCTCCTCCTCCTCCTCCTCTCCCTCTCTAAGTACGAAAAAGAGTCCTGGCCATCACTCTGCGTCTGGGTTCATGTCCCAGCAGTGCATTAATTCATGTTTTGCTCTTGCACTGTGATCCCAGGGGTTGCTTGGATTGTAAGGCACAGGAGGTGGTATGTGCTTTGGGGGCACTCAGACTTTGTTAGCCCCCTACGAGTGAATCAGGCCCTGGAAAGCTTGCCAACAGATATGACTTCATGGCAGCAGGCCCCTCGTCCTTCAAGCCTCTGAAAGGGCCTTATGTTTTAACAGATTGCTCTTTGCCAAGAAACAAAAGATGATTAGGGAGTGGTTCCAAATCCAGAATACTCCAGTCACACATGGACAGAAATACTGTGCTTCATATTAGAGTAGCAACAGGAAACCTGCAGCCTTCACTGACAACTTTAATGCTTTACATTTGTCTCGGCTCCTTGCATGCGTGTTGCTGCAGTTTTAACCTGCTGCCAGACGTTTTTCAACCGCAGTGACATTCTGAAAAGTTAGCGTTTTCTTTCACATGTCACATGTCCTTGTCATTAATATTTACAATCACCAGTAAGTCAAGTAACCTCGGACGTGTGATGTTTAATATTTGCCAGAGAGCTTCACATATGTAACACGGTACCGCCGCTGCCCTCTCACTTCTAAGTACCGTACAGAATCACTTGTCATCACATACTTTCAGAAAGCTATTCAACTTTGAGCATTACCATCTGCTTTTTCCATGTTCACGACGTCACTGGCACAGCTGGTTATTGGGTCGTAGCGGAGAAAGTGGAGCGAGCGAGAAAAAACGCTGATTCTCTCCCGACTCACGCTAACGACAACCAGCCACCATGCTCTTGTCTGCCGTGTACGTTGCGTGCTCATACAGACATGCCACGTTAGATATAGCTCCGGTCACGTGTGGCCCCAGCTGCCTGACGGCTTCATGATGGGCTCATGCAAAAGGAAAGACTGTGTATGTGGCTTTCCGTCCGTCTCACCTTGAACATCTGAGACAGTGCAGTGAAAGCTTAGCATGCTGCAACTGATCTGTTGCAGGTGCTGGGGGAGAATTATTGGAAAGGTCATTTTGTCAAGATATCACATGAGGACTTCGAGAAAAAAAAAGCTTGCAATTTGTGGAGAATGAACGAAAAGGTAGAGAACCCATTTCTTGGATGTGACGTGGAAACTATTGATAACCGTGTTTCATTTTTCAGGTATGATCACATGGTCGACAGTCTGAGAGCTGCCGCCGCTGCTGCCGCTGCTGCTGCTGGCGAGCAAATAACTTCGTTGGCACACTTGCTTGATTTCTCCCTATAAAACTTTACAGTGGTATTTGTACAGCTTACTGGTCACTGACACCTAGCCTGCTGGTGGCAACAGCTGCGAAAGAAATCAACACTCAGTGTAGTGCAGGGTTTTAAAATGATGTCACATGTGTTCAGACCTGACCTGTACTGTAATCTCACCCCCAACACCTGGTTGCACACTAGCGTGGTGCACGAAAGAGCAAGAAAAAAAAAAAAGATCATTGTCTCTATGATGGAGGTTTTTTTTTTTCTACTCACAAGCAGGACAAACAAAAGAAATCTCTGAAGTTTCTAAGGATTTGGGAAACAATAGAGGCTTCTCTGAAATGTTAGTGTTTCTTAGAATGTGAGACAGGTCATTGCTCCCTGACCCACTTGGTAAGCCCATTATTGTGGCTGAACAGTGCTTCCTGCTACATGCTTTTTAGTAATTGAATTCTTTGTTTTGATCAGAAGAATCTGTTGATGTTACGTAAACCGCCGCGAGTCACGTCCTGCAAAACCTCACCGAGATAAGCCAGCTGTGATCATTTTTCTTTCTTTCTTTTTAAAATTCTGCTTCGAGATAATCTTCCATCCAGGAGCGCTCTCCGCTCTCGCCAAAATAGCTGCTTCTGCCACTGGGGAGCTAGAACGTCGTCACACCCAGTAATTGTGTTGTGGTGATGGTGACCCAAAAAAGAGGTTGCGTCCGTCCGTGTGGCTTGTCGAAAACCCAAACTCAGATATGGGATGAGACCTCAGACCAAAATTAGCCATGTACAGTAGAGCAAGCCGTGCACCTTCTGCAACACAAAAACGTTTATTCGCGTCGTGGAAGCCGCGAGAAGGGGTCAGAAAGTCTGCTCACCTATAGCGGCGTTTCCCTCTTGGAAAGACTTTGCATCCTCTCATAAGTCCTGTTTTGTAATTTATAATCCTTGAATTGTTCTTGTTGCTATTTATACCATGCATTCAGAAAAGCAGGAAACTTTTTGATTGCAATGAACATATTCTGCGCGCACAATACCATGGGAAGAGTTATTTCCTGCATATTCAGAAGCTGATTGAGAGCGTGCACAACAGAAACTCGGCTGAAACAACAGGACATATGGGTGAAAACATTATTCCTTTTTACACTTGTGGTTAGAAAAAAAAAGAAAGAAAGAAGAAGAAATCCTGGACAGAACATTTGATAAAGTCCATATTTCCTTACGGTTCCAGCTGGTTTGGAAGTGGTCCCTTTTCAGTCATCAGCCTCTTAATCCTTCTCATGTAACCACTGCAGTGCTGTCATGTCATGTGCAGCGCATGTATCTTACAGTTTTTTTGGATCTCTTTATGAAAATTGCTCTTGCCATTGCTTGAATTATTCTTTACTCCGCTAACCTTGTTACTTAAATTCTTCTGACACTGAAGAGCGTTGGCCACAGTTCTTTAAATAGCCTTTCGGACCCATTTCTTATAACTTTTTGTGCCGCTCGGTGACTTTGCACAACTTGTTCACACCTTCCTTTCTGCTCTAGAAACTGCGGGGTTATCGGGGCCTCGGCCTCGCTTTCAAATATTAAGCAGCGGAGGCAGTGTGACGCTGAGGGATGGTTTACTGAGGTTGTGCTTTATGTGACACAGGCCCTCGGGCTCATTTATCCCCACAATTATCTTGTCCTACCCCCAGATGAGATTAAACAGCACCTCCATTCACCGCTCTCTTACATCTTGTAAAGATGTAATTTCAGATGCGGGCGCAGAGACTGACTTAATCAAAGGCAGGACGTAACAAACGTGGTGTAATGCTGGGAAATCCAATGAGAGGTGGGAGAATCCATTGTCCTGGCTTCTTCTTTTTTTTTTTTGTTTGCTGTCTAAATGCTATTATTACAGTCTTAAAGATCCAGTGGAGAGAAAAAATCCAAAGAAGGGGGTAGCTTATCTTTCGTACTTGGACCGCTGCCCGTAAGAAACTTGGGATATTCATGAAGCATAATTGTGTGCAGATGTTAATTTTTAAACAGAGAAGTATCAGGTGCACCTCCTTTGGCTACTCCGCTCCTCTCGTCCTAATGAAATCTTTAGCTCGGGCAGAGGGAGAGAGATAGCAGCACAGCTTTGGGCTCAGCTGAATGGAAGAGCTGCACATGACTTGGCTCACTTGGCTCCCGTCCAGCATCTTGGCTGAGTTTCAGGAGTTAAACACAGACCCTCTAAGCCTCCTTTACAAGCTGGGTACCCTTAGCATGGAAAAACTGAGTTTTTGTGGCCGAACTGAAGAGCCCACATCAGAAAAGATGAATTTAGTGATTTCGTGAGTGGAGGAGAAGAAAAAAAAAAGTCAGACACTATTGTCTTTTTTAAAAGCTACACAAAAAAAAAACCCTTTCCTTTCTAACTCTAAACAGTTTCTCGAGGTGCCCTGTTTGGTGAGGTGAGTCTAATCGATGTGCTCAAACCTTTTTTTGGTGGGGCCATTTATATGCCTAAATGAAATTACACATGAAACAAGAATGCGCATTAAAAAAAACCCTGCATATTTCATGGCCAAATATGTGGCATTTTAATCAAGTGCCCTGAGAAATTATTGGACTGTACAGCAGAAATAAAGAGTTTTTCCACAGTGGACACATGCATTGGTGTACATAGGAATGCTTGTTTGACGTATTTATTTATAGCCGGCAATAGCCTCGTAGTCTGAGCGGGGAGACACAAGGACATATCTAAACACAAACCAAGGCCTGCCAAGTCATGAGTTGTGAGATTAATTTCAAAGAGACGGCAGAGCAGCGCAGAAGCCAAAGACCCAATTCTGGTAATCACCCTGCCCCCAGCCTCTCCTCCTCCTCCTCCTCCCACACCGCCTCCCCTCCCCTCCCCAAAGACTCCCAGACGCTCATGCTGTGTCAGGCTCTTTGAACATCAGTTTTTTCGGAGCTCGTGTCCTTGTTACGTCTCGGTGCCTTCCTCCACGGTGGCTGTGTACTAACAGGCCAAGCCGGCGAGGGTTACGGCGACTCGTTAAATCGCGTTTTCCAACATATTCGCTATATATGGAAGTTGATTTGTCTTTCAGCAGCAGTTGGCATATAATCCGCAGCCAACATTCCTCTCTGGTTCAGCGCGTCTGGCCCCGTGCACCACGGCGGGTTTCCTTGTCAGATAAATATAACCAGGGTCATCCACTGGCACCATCGCTTCTGCCAGTTGGGGCCTGGCAAAGTCCCCACAATAACTCTGTACTTATGGTACAGCTAAGCCAAGGGGTGGTGGTGGTGGTGGTGGGTGTGGGGGGGGATGGAGGGCTTCTTTTTGTGGCCTCAAAGAACCTCTGGCTGGGGGTCCAGGCTTACGAGGCTGAGCCCCAAAGATAGGAAAAGGGGGGAGGGGAGGGGCCACGTGAAGGATAAAGGACCTCAACCTGTAAATATCCCATCAGCGGGGACCGTCAGATCCCTGAGACTATAGTGCCCCCTGGGGGAGCTGAAATTACACCTAAGAAGTGCATAAAATGTGACACAAATGTACAAGCATTTATATGAGTCCGCAGAGCAACTGGATTTTCCTCCGCTTGACATTTGAATCAGTTTAATGTGGGACACGTCGCTATAAAGTTACTGCACTCGGGGGGCCTCGGTCCTGCTTGCACTTTAGCAGCCCAGATAACGTGTTTGCAGATTTTCCAGGCGCGCATGCAGCATGTGATGCAGGCTTTCCCAAAGCTGCGGAGGTTCCTGCGCTCGCAAATGAAGTGCCGCTTTGTGTCCGTATCGATGTGTGAACTTTAAGACCGAACCGTCTCGCTCAAAGGGGATGAGAAGCCGAAGGAAGACGTGTCGCTGGCCGACCGTTTTGGCGAGTCTCTCCGGTTCAACTTGTCTGACGTGAGCAGACGTTTTTCTGTCGCCGTTATAAATAGAGGAACGAGGGGGTTCACCGGCGGGAGGAAAAGAGGAGTTTAAGCTATTGTCTTAGCTGTAGGAGTTCATCAGCTGTTGTCGGAGCTCCAGACTCCCCTCCTCTGTAAACAAATGTTAAACAACAGTTGGCACACACCCTGGGAAAAGCACCCACCTGTTGTGGGTGCTGCGTACGACGAGGACTGACGACGAGCAGAGTTTCATCATTTATGTTTACAGCAAATCAACATATGATGTATTTACAACATACTTTTTAAAGCATCACGAATATGAATCAGATCTCTACATTGACACACAGACATTCTGCTTTTTGTTTTTCAAATAAATGCTTCTTCAATATCACTACACTGACATTTATTTTAAAGCTGCACTTTCTATTTGTTGTTAACAATTTCCCCCAATGCACAAAAGCGCTAATTAAATGCTTTGATGAACCCTCTGGTGGCTAATTGTCCATAACCAAACAGCAGACAGACAGTTCATGACTATCCTGTGGGAAAAAAAGTTGAATTTTTAGCAGCTAAATAGATTTTTTTTGGATGGTGGAGACCAAATCTGAGCTAAAAGTCAGTTGGACAGAACTCATCTCCACATGAACGCTCTCTAGATGTATAAAGATGGAGACTATTCAATTATAACATGTCAGCGTTGGATTGACTAATCGTTCTGACTCCCATTCAGTCCACTTATAATAAAATGTCTTTGCATTAATGTCAATCTGTGGCTTTTGTTCTAGGTTTAAAAATCTGACATTAATGAATTTTTTTTCTTTTGGGTTTCCGCTGCAGATCGTGAGTCTCGAGAACATGAGGACACCATAACCACAGAGATTACTGAAGAGCTGCAGCCGGCTAAAGTGCCACTCCTTCCTAAAGACATTGTAAACAGTAAAAAAGTCCACGCAATGCGCAAGGAGCAGAAGAGGAAGCTTGGCAAGCAGCGCTCCATGGGTTCCACCATGGATTACTCCCCTCTGCCCATCGACAAGCATGAGCCTGAATTTGTAAGTACTGGACGTCCGAAGCTTCATTGTGTATATTTTTAACATTTGTGACTTAACTCTTAGTAGCAGTGAGATACGAGCATACAAGATCCAACAGTCCAAGTTCAAAAGGGAACTTTAAAGACTAAAAATCAAGAATGTTTGACCACACTAGCGAACATTGCTTTCATAATCAATTTGAAAAACCGTGAAAGAGCTGCTCACCTTCTGAACCTGGAACAACCTCTGAGGACCATGATGCTTGGTTGTAACGCTGTTCTGTGTCTCTCTGAAGGGTCCATGCAGGAGAAAACTGGACGGGATCATTCAGGGGATGAAGGACACTTCTCGTGTAATGGCTTTGTCTTTGTACCTTCCCAACTGTGACAGAAAAGGATTCTTCAAGCGCAAGCAGGTGAGTGTTTGAGAACCTCAGAATGCAGATTTTGTATTTAAGCCTATTCAGGACTTTCATGTTGGCATATGTGGAAGGTCTTTCGGGGTCCACTGGACCCCAAGAAAGAATATGGGCAAAATATTTGTTGGTATTCATTATAGACTTTTATAACATGTTGAATAAATATTCTGATAAGTTAACGTATGTTTGGTTCCAAATGCAGGACAAATGTCCGTCTTTTTAAATTAGAAAATAAATCTTCAAAAACTGAAAAACAATAACTGTCACCTAAACTTTAAGGCCTGGGGTCCAAAAGACCCCAAAAGTCCTGAATAGGGTTTCCTCACCACTCCCAGCACTTGAGTTTTTGTTTTTTTTTCAATCCAGCTGCAAATTCTTCAGCAAAATCTGCAGCTTTTAACGGAATTGCAGTGATTTGTGGATTTGCTCACCGTCCCAGCTGATTGGACGTTAGCTTTACCTACTAGCCCGTAAAGGAGTCACTGTGCACCCAAGATTGCACAAATGAACTTGACAACAGGCCTTTAATCACCATCACCAGTGTTTTCTAGTGTGTTGACCTGTTTCCATTGACGTCATCGTGTCCCGCTCTCCCGTCCACAGTGCAAGCCATCTCGCGGCCGCAAACGAGGCATCTGCTGGTGCGTGGACAAGTACGGCGTTCAGCTGCCCGGCACAGACTACAGCGGAGGGGACATTCAGTGTAAAGACCTGGAGAGCAGCAACAACAACGAGTGAAACGGGGGGG